AAATGAAAACAGACCCTCCACAAGACATCCTGGCTCTCCAAACTTGTATATCCAGCATCTAGAAGTCTGAAATGCAAGTTTCTGTTATTAGTGAACAACTCAGTCTGTCACTGTTGTTTTTGTTCTAGCCTTTCAAACTAAAAGAGGGAATCTCTGGTTTCCTAGGCCTGTGTGAAGAGGAAAACTGATTCCTTCCAGGGTGTTCCCTCTGTAACTCCAGTGACCTGAAAGCTGTGACCTCTGTCTGTGCCCATGGCACCACCAAAACTGAGATCAGGGACCACCATGTGTAACATTTCTAAAGATCCTGCATCCCAGGCCCTGGGCTATGGCTCAAGACTCATTGTGGAAAAGTGCAAGGATCACTAAGCATTTGGGGAAAGCAATTCCACAGTAGAAAAAGAATTGCTTGCCATCAACTCTCTCTCTCTCCCTCCCCCTACCACTTATTCTGTGGCTCATACAATTCATTCAAGTAGAAAAGAAGCATAGCAAGGGAGGCAGATACCAACACTGCTGTCTTCTGTGGCACCCAGCTGAAGTATGAAATCCTGAGGACATCTCAACGGCCTGTAACAACTCACTAGCTGCTCTACCTTCTTCTTCTTCAAAGATCCCTTCAGATCAGGAGTTTGTAAAGAGTCAAAAGGCCAGACTGTAAATTACTTCAGGCTTTGCAAACTTGTCTGGCTCCTACCATTAACCACAGACAATATGACAACAAATGTATGTGCATATGCATATGACTATGTTAAGACTCTTAAATTTGAACTTTACATAATTATTTTGTGCCATGACATAGTCTCCAAATTTTTTCCATTTAAAAATGTGCAAATTATTTCTATCAAATTAAGCCCAAGGACCATAGTTTGCCAATCTCTTCAATACATCACTTAACTAATCTTTTGCCTGTCTATCCAGCCAGTGATTCTCTATGATGTATACAGGGGACGGAGTAATGAATAATGATAAATAATGTCAGGACTTCATTTTTGAGTTAGAAGAGAGAGTTGATATCAGGCCTAGTACTTTTCCTAATTTAAACAGGTACAGGTTATAAATCACAAGGAAAGTACCTTTTGTGTTGAAGAGTTCATATTTTATCTTAAGTGTGCAAGAGCTACTGTTAAGTCACTAACCAATGGATATTAAGCAAAAGTACATGGCTTCCCATAAATTAATAAATAGGTCCTCACTTCAGCTCTTAGGAATAAACTGCTGGCAAGGGACACATTGCAAAGGAATCACAACTCTGCCTTCATGGACTCATGGCTAAATGAGAAGTAATGCATTCCTTTTTTCAGCTTACTCTAAAATGTTTTATAAGCAGTTGCCTTGAGCAAGACACTGGTTAGGTGCTAAACCACTTTGAAGAATGACACTCATACAGGTATTCCCCTGTACTGCCTCACTTCTTTCTTTCCCTTTCTTGGAACCTGACTGCCCCACTACACAGGAGTCCAATCTGCTGTGCTGAGTAGATACACTTCTCAGCAGAGCTGGTTCATAGTGCAGGGATGGATAACTGTTCAGAATAGGAATTCTGTGTTTATGGACTCACCAAACAACGAAGTTACAAGACAGACCCAGAACCAGTTATGGCACTGGACACGAAGTCATGCATCCCTTACGACAATTCCTAGGCAGTCCAGAGTCCAGGGTTTAAGCAAGGATAATGATGGCCTCTGGCCAGAAGAGTGAAGGCCTAGGACAAATATAAGAGGGTAGGGAAAATCCCTGATGCTGGGAACCACAAACTCTGCCTGAGAAATAGTATGGACCTAATTCCATACTAATATACACAGGTAAAGCGTATGAGTGGTGTGGACTGAGAGCAATGATGGAGACTATGAGGATCAAAACCGCAGAGTACACGTGCTAGCTGTCTAAGAGGGCAGCCTTTTTCAGTCCCTTGCTGATTCTGGGAATGGTGGCATTAAAGTGGCAGGTGTGCCCATTATGAGAAACTAAAATTTAGCCAGGTGCCAGTGGCTTACATCTATAATCAGGAGGCTGAAACCTGAGGATCAAGGTTCAGGGTCAGCTGGGACTTACAAATCCAAGAGAGTCTTATCTTCAATTAACCAGCAAAAAAGCTAGAACTGGAGGTATACCTCAAGTGTTAGAGTATCAGCTGTGAGAGGAAAAGCTGAGGAAAAGTGCAAGCTTCTAGTTCAAGGCCAAGTTCCCCTCCACACACATAAAAGAATTAAACTATTATACACTATCTCTAGCTTTGTAAATGTTGGGCAAGAATTAACAGTTTCCCAAACAGAGGATAAGTCAAGAAATAAACATCTGCAGGCTAGATAGTTCTAAGGAAAAGGTCCTTGCAAAGGTTGGAGAAAAAAAAAAAAGGAAAGGAGGATTGGCATAGTCCATTCAAGAACCAAGCCCTACTTCTTACACTGCTTCTATGGCAGTGTTTCTTGTGTGTGGCTCCCACAACAGCATCTGTTCACCTGGGGACTTGCTGGGAACATACACTTTCTGATACACACACACCACTTGGCCAGGAGCTCTGGAGTGGGTCAACCTTCGAGGGAACAAGCTCTCTAAGCAAGGCTGTTTTACAGAAATCACATTCCATGCTTAGGACTATCTTCCTCTTTCTGGGGTCCATTTTTTTTATTTTTGCAATCTTGAAGATTGCCACTTTCCACATGACAGATGCAACCCTGTACTAGATAGCTAATGTTCAAAATGATGGAGAACAATGACTGCTTACATATTCCATATCAGCTCTCTTTATTTCAGTGCTCAATCATAATGTGGTTTTATGCAAATTCATTAACTGCACTACCATGAGAAAGTTTATAAAAAAGGTGTATTTATCCAAATGTTGTAGAATGAGACAGAAGGGAAAGGAAGTTGTATTGGTTTTCCTAATAAAAAGTTTTTAAAAGACCTCTACAACTGCTTGATAATATTTTATAAACAAGACCTGCTTCAGTTCATCTAAAATCAGTATTTTTTCCTTCGTAAAGGAAAACTGAGATTTAAAGTTTATCAGAAGATTTGGAATTTTGCATCCCTTATCCTGTTTCTCTCTACAAGTAGGGGCAGAATATTTCAAAACCAATATTCCTAAGTGGCTGCTATTGACCCAGCATCATCAAATAGGAGTGATTCATGAAATACAGCACCTGAGATGTATGTGCGAACAAATTTGCTACTATTAAAAAGACCTCCACTTCCTTTTGCTTTATTGTTTTTTAATCAAGTGGACCTAAGAACACACTGTGCATTATGTTGTTTTTATTGTTATTTGTTGGTCATGGTGTTTGAACTCAGGGTCTAGGAGCTATCTATCCCTGAGCTTTTTCACTCAAGGCTAGCACTTTACTACTTTGAGCCATGTCACCACTTCCAGTTTTCTGGTGGTTAACTGAAGATAAGAGTCTCACAGACCTACCTGCCCAGGCTGGCTTCCAACTGTGAGCCTCAGATCTAAGCCTCCTGAGTAGTTAGGATTTCAAGTATGAGCCACTGGCACCCCACTTGTGTTCAGGTTTTGAACCGCCCCTCCATGCTGGATATTCTGCTATATACTGTAGAGGTGCAAGTGGGGCCAGTACTTCTCCTTTCAATTAACTATGGCTTCTACTTGTCCCTGGAAATGATCAATTTACCACTGGCATCTAAAATCATAATGTCCAATAGTGAACTTCCACTTTTTTTAATGGTTGGTTTCTAAACTCAGTGCTTATAGTGGACTGGATTTACTCATAAATGTCATCTGGGCAAGTCACATGCCACAACCTCACATCTTCTCACTAAACACACCAGAGCCACTTTTCCTCTACCTCCCTACCTGATAGTTGTTTCCAAGGTTAAGCTTTAGGGGAACAGTCTCCCATCTATTTGGGAACCACGCTGTACAAGATGCATATAACGTTAATCATCGGCCTCCTTAGAGGGGTGAGAGCCTGTGTCACCACACTGTGTAATTTGAGAATGATGAAGGGAACATGAAACGATATCTTTCTCCCATCTAATTTTCCCACATGGTACCTGCTCTTTGGATATGGTGAGGGCACACATCACATTTGTCTTGTTTCTTTATAAGAAATTTGTACTGTTTGTTCAATGCCCAGGGATTAAATATACAAACTAGACAAAGGAAGAGGGACTAGGTTTGGACTGTCTCATATCTAGCGGAACAGTCAGGGAACACCTTTGGCAATGGCATAGGACAGTGCTCATTGAAATCCAATCTTACCTCTTTTCCCTGCTAAAATTCCACCATTTGGAAGAGACAGTGCCCACAATTGCCAATACACTGGCTTGTGCTCATGTGTTGATCCTTTTGCAAATATACATTATAGGGCCACATCCCCAGAGATTTAGATGCTATAGGTATATGATACAGTCCAAGATCCACAATATTAATCTTCCTAGTGACTTCAGACTGGCTTACATCTTGAAGAATCTTTGAATTAGAGCATTTGTAAATGTTAACATGTCACAAATAACTTAATGTATGGGTTCATAAGATAAAAGTCCATATTGTCCATCTGGAAACCAAAGGAGTGTAACAGAGAGCAGATAAGTTTTGACAAATATGGGAAACAGAATGTTCTAGGTGGTCCAATGAAAAACTACAGAAAAAAAATGGCTCATGAAGAAGAAGTCTGTTAAGGATACTGCAGTTGACTTCATCATTTCTGAGACCGAGGGCCCACAGAGCAGCTCTGGCTCCAAGGCAAACAAAAATAAAGAGAATGATGCTCAATATGCATGAAGTATACTGACAATGGATCTTTTCACAGAATACATTAAACATGTTTTTATGGTTTCTTTCTCTCCAAAATAGTTTCATTTTGAAAACAACAAAAGCCAAAGTATTTGATTTTGGTCAACCAAAAACCACAAGGCAGAAAAACCATAGGTCATTATAAGATTAAGTCTACACAGGACACTTGTCTGAGGAGATCTGAAGGTTATGATAAAGGTTGTCCAATGACTCCACTGCGTGGATGGTGCTGGCATCAACTCACCTTTCGATCAGGCCAGTTGTATTTTGCGAAGATGGTGTCATAGGTGTCCACTGCTCCATCAGTTATCAGCATAATGGCCTGGCTGCAAATGCTTCCTTGTCCTGTGTGGTTGAACTATGCAAAGAAATAAGTTCAAAATAAAAATAAATATCAGAGTTCTATGCATCTGCAAGACCTCACGAATGTATGATCTGGGCTTTGAAAGTTTCTAGACTAAAGAGCTTTTTGGGCATCACTAAGCAGAATCTACCAGACAAGCCTTGCTGAGTCAGCTGCCATATATGTTCTGACAAATGGGAGCTAAAGCCCTAAGTTCTCCCATCAGAGTAGAAGTTTTCTTTCTCAAAATAAATCTTAAGGAGTTGGCACAAGGATCTTTGAGGAACACTATATAAGGCAGCAATATCGCTTTTAAAATCTGAATGAGGCTAATCTGAATGGATGTTTTAAACAAATAATGAAGCAAACAACAACAACAACAAAAAGAAAATTCACATTAAAGTGCTAAGCACTCTTTTTTTTAAGAGTTCACTTAAAATATATGCTATTAACAGGTTCTAACGTGTATTAAGTTTATTTGCTAGCACGCTAAATTTCCAAGACTGTATATGCTGCTATGAAAATCCCTAAACCTTAATTTCCAGCTACTTTGTTTTCAAAGTTCCCAGCATTTACAAGTACTATCTACAGTGAGCAAATATAGCTACCAGATCAGGGTGCATTTACCCTTGGGTCCAAAGTGAATTTCCCTTAATGAATGCTATTAATGATGCGACCCAAAGTAACACCAAGTCCTTTAGGCATGAGAAACAGAGCCCTTTAGTTTTCAATGGAAAAACAAAACAAAACAAAACTCCATTACAAGTACCCAGGTAATGCTGGGGCTAAAACATACACAAATCTGTTCCCTTTATCAGTTTTGTATTTTCTTGGAAAGCACACAAAAACAAGGTAAATATGTAAAATATATTGTCAGTCTAATGCTTATGATGCTAAGGGGTAAATAAAGAGCAAGCAAAGATGGGAAATAGGAAAGAATCAATTTTAGAGAAAGTAGTCAGGGAGAACCTCACTGAGAAGATGATACTAAATACCTGAAAGAAGGAGAGGGCATTTCAGCACCAAATAGGACTGTGCTTAATGTGTTCAATCAACTGATCACCAATCTTCAACTGTAATATTACAGTTTTTATATAGGATCCTGATCAATCTTCCTCTATCCCCTCCATATTGAGAGATGTACCTCCAATCAGATTTCAGTCTCAATAAATATCCTACTCTTTGTCTTTCCCACTCTGAGATGCTGCTAAGGTGTCTAAAGCTGTTCCTTTACAGTAGTAACCAAAGTAGCCTTAGAGCTTGGTCATTTCAACAGATTGTTTGAGGAGGCTGCATGCCCAACAGTTTTTACCATACTCAAAAAAAATTACAGCAAGCTCCAAAACAAGAACAATGTATGCTTCAGCTCATGGAGACTTCAGAGGAAGAAAAACCAGGATGTCCTTGGATGGGTTGTTCATGCAACTCATTTTAAAACATCATAGAAAAACTTTCCCAAACAAAAAGAAAAAAATGAAGAGATTTGAATAACATAGACTACACGGAGCTGCCAGGAGCTATTTATTTGAAAAGATTACTTTCCTTTCTGGCTGGGCCTCTGGTATTCTTTGCTGCAATCTGTATTTGGAGGATTTTGAAGAATGCAATTAAACTCAAATGCTTTGATGAGTAATATCTCTTCTCTTCATATTTGTCTAGAACTTTTTTTATTGAATAGCGAGAGTGATGAAAGTGTTTTCCATAATAATAACAATGACAAGGGCCTGATGATGAACTACAATTAGCTCAGTGATTCATCAGTTAGCAGTGAAATTTTCAATGCATCCTGACATTTAGAGCATTTGGTTGTGATTAACAGTCTTTGAAATGTCACCGAATTTTATTTAATTGGCTAAGAAAAATTTTTAAAAGGTAATCACTGCAAAGATCACATTCATCGCCAAAAAAGATAATTGCAGTTGTCACATGACAAGGTAGATGCTAACTACTGTAGCAAACTGGCTCTGTGTTCTTACAGCATCTAATGAATGCAGTGAAGATCAATAGCTGGAAGGGGCTTAGAAGTCTATGTGAATGCTCTTTTCAAAGCCATTGGTCTCAACAACTGCAGTCTTTAGGCCATCTGAGAAAATAACAAAACTAAAATGTAAGTAATTGTAAGACAGAATAAACTCTAATTATCATAACCTATGAGCCATTCTAAACTCATTCTAAGCTGTTTACAACCACAGTCTCAGTTCTCTCTCTTTCTGTGTGTATGTGTGTATGTGTCTGTGTGTATAAAATGTATATGTGTGGTGTGTATGTGTATAGTGTGTGGTATGTGTATGTGTAGTGAAGGATGTATCCATGGTGTGTGTATATGTGCCATGTGTAGTGTGCATGTATGATGTGTGTATAGTACATATATATATATGTATATATTGAGTGGGGGGTATGTGTAATATATGTGTGGTATACATGTGGTATGCAGCAGAGGGATGTATCTGTGGAGTGTTTGTTTGTATGTATGTGGAATACATGTGGTGTGTGGTAGAGGTATGTATCTATTGGGTGTGAGAGATATGTGTGATGTGTGTGTGGTATACATGTGGTACATTGCAGAGGGATGTATCTGTGGAGTGTGTTTATATGTGTAATGTATGTGTGATGTGTGTGTTATGGGAGGTGTTTCTGTAGCATCTGTGTGTGTGCCTGAACACATATTTGGAAAACAGCTTATTTTGTTTCCCATTGGCTTGCCGAAGCAGACATAAAGAGACATAAAGCAGACAGGAAGAGAGTTATGTCACTTAAAATCACATTGATGAAGTGGAAACTTCATTTTCATGGGAGGATTAACCATATCAATGCCTGTCAAAAAAAAAAACCCTAGATACTTAAAAGCTCAGTGGCAAGAGATAGGATGGAAATATTTCTCTCTAGTATAAATATGCACTTGGAAGAATAAGGTATGGACAGTCAACTTATCTCAAGCAGGGACACTTAGTAACCTTTATTAGTGCTTTGGTGTCCTGCTGTCTTAGATTGAAGTTTGGTTCTTCTGAGTTACTAACTGGCCCCATGACATAGTTTTTACACGTGAAAGCAGGCAGGAGTGAGTGTCCACATTCACAAATACTTCCCTCACAGGATTCAACATCCACAACAACAAAAATCCATCCATGTTTGTGGTTTCTCTGATAGTCACTGTGGTAATATGAACCTAATATTTGAAGGATCCAGCGATACTTATGTTCTGTGAGCTGTGACTTCTACTGGACATTAATATTGAGTTTATAACACGACATAACACATGGCTGGGCCAGCAAAGAATAAACATTTTTGAAAGGTTCTGTTCCTTATGGGATTCCTCAAGACCTTTAATAGGAGCTAGTGGTGTTGTAAAAGAGGAAAAAATTGGCTTCCCACTTTCCTATAGCCCCTGTGTTAGGGATCATGGCAGACCAACAACCATTGGGGCTTAGCATGACAAGGAAGAACAGAGGACAAATGAGGGAAGCTGATGTTTCTGAGTACCTGGGCAAGGAGTAAGGCCAAAGACTCAGAGTAGAGCTGTGTCTAGAGCCCATGAGAGCTGAAACTTCCCAGTGTTTCTGTGGTAAGGTGAGCACCCAATACTGCTGAAAGGAGTCAGCCACCACTTCATCACACTGAAGTCTCTTTGTCATAAGGAAGATCTCCTAGGACAGCCTCACAGCATGGGAAGGGCACCGCAGAACAGAGCCCCACCCAAGAAATGGTCCATGCGTGGAAGAACATTCTGCTGTCCCTTTCTTAAAACTCTTAAGAGCCTGAGAATAAGAGAGACCCTGTGTTTTCATTTTACACTAACTTTCATGATTTGTGAGGCCAGTCTATGTCTATCTCCATTTTACAGATGAGGAAAATTAGGTGGTGATCCAGAATAATTTCCTCAAACAACAAGCTCTAGACCCAACCAACCACATAAACATCTAATTTTCTCTCCTCCACACGCAAGCCAGAGGATAGGGCAATGGAAGTTTACTGTGGAAATTTATTAATAAAGGATTCAAGGACTTTCTAACATAGAGTTATTTCTCCCTACTATGGCTACTAGTGTGTGTGTGTGTGTGTGTGTGTGTGTGTGTGTGTGTGTGTGTGTGTAAGATTTTTTGGGTTTTTTTGGTGTTTGTTTTTGTGAGGGACCTGGGGCCTGAATTTAGGGTCTTGGTGCTGCCCCTTAGCTTTTTTTTTTTCTTTTGTAGCTGAAGGCTAGAATTCTACCATTTGAGCCACAGCTGCACTTCTGGCTTTTTTGGTAGTTTATATTATAGATAAGAGTCTCATAACTTTTCCCTGCCTGGGATGGCTTTGAACCATAATCCTTAGATCTTAGCTTTCTGAGTAGTTAAGATTATAGTCATGAGCCACTAGTACCCAGCATGCCACCAGATTGTTTAAATAAAAAGAAACTAAAATTTCAAAATCTCACAGTCTTTTCAGTATTACTACTTCAAAGAGGTCTGCTGAGATTCAGTGTTCCATGCCCTGAGAAAGAGATATACTAAGGGTTCAAACCAGAATTTAAGGGAACAGAATAGGCCTCTGCCTGGACCAACTATATTTCTACACTATTACTTTACTGTCAGCAGAGATGTGCTGTCCAAATCACGAACTCTTAGATAAATGTCAATCACCTGTCGCCAACAGCCTTACATTTATATTGAGGAAGCTGACTCAACATCTAACTTTCCTTATTTTTCATTTTTCCTCTGCAGTCATGACACAAGCTCATGACTGAAATTGAATGGCCTCCTTTGTATTAATACATATCACTGATAAAAGGGACTCTAGAAATTAGAGCCAACCCTTGAGAGGCCAGTGTATGAGTATGAAAAATGTGTGTCTGGGCTGGGGATGTAGCTAAATGGTAGAGCATTTGCCTCACATCTATAAGACCCTCAATTCAAGTCCAGGTATTGAAAAAAAGGAAAATTAAAAGGTGAAAGAACTAGAAAAATCTAAGGCTAAGTCAGACTAATTACTTACAGTGTCCAAACTATGGGTTGCTGTGGGTGATTTACCCACCTTACCCTGTTACATCAGCAAAAATGACAATAGCTGTCCCACAGAGCTGCCTGGAAACCTCACTGGTTCTCTTATTTCTCTCTTGACACTCAAGATGGACCGTCTGTGTTGCTTGCTCTCAGAAAACCCCAGGACTGACAATAACACTGACAGATAATTCCGTAAGTCCCATCTATTCTCTTAATAACAAGAAAGGCAAAGCAAAGAGGAGCTTACATCACTGAGAATGTTGAAGGCCTCATTCAGAGATATATCCAGCATTCCAATTCCTTTAGCAAAAAGTTTGTCCAGATGCTCCCTGAAGTGCTGAAATGACAAGGCAGAAAATCCATTAGTGTCTTTTCTGTGCGTGAAATAACAGCCTTGAAGTGGACTGGCATGTGATTCTGAAAGATCAATGACAGCCCCCAATGATCTTTCCTTCTATATAAAAAGGAAATATATGTCCTTAGATAATACATATATAAGAATATATAAGAATGATATATTCCTTCAATATAAAATTTACCTTTAATATTTATTTTTTAGCTTTGATTACAGCTTAGAAAAAAAATTAATCTGGTAAAAACACTTAATTCATCTATTTTTCCTTCTTCCCTTTCCAAGTTCTATACCTGAAACTCTTCCCCTCCCTCCACCTCCCCATGCTAAGACACTGAAATGCTCCCCCTCCATGCAAAACCCCCAACCCAGTCGCTGTCACACTATCTCCCCTTGATCCCGGGGTCTCAATGTAGCCATCACACCCTGCATGCACCAGAAGTCCTTTCCAGGCCACTTGCCTCTGAGACTAGCTTAAAATGCTTTTTTGTGTGACCCCATGCTGCTACCCATACCCAGATCCACAATGCACTTAGCAGTCCAAGTGCCACTGTCTAATTAAAACTCTGCCTCGGCTTGAAACTATGAAGTTCTTAAGATAAAGATGAAGTTTTCTGCCACCCACGTCTACCAGATAGCTATATACAGAGGACATGTTCAGTAGATATCTCTGAAGAGCAAGGACAAAGAGCGGATATCAACATCAAAATGAAGACAATAAACAAAGAAAGACAGACTAAAAATCTAAAAGAGCTTTAAGGAACAGATAGAAAGTGCATGAGCCTTTTTAGGAACAGACTCAAAGCCCTTCTAGCTCCCTTCTACAGAAGCCCAGCCTCGAAGGCAGTAACGTGGCATCGCCTATGGAGCATAGCACACGATGAGCTGTCTGTCCATCATACAGCTTTCCAGGAGGCTGGTCTTTAATTCACTCCAGGTCCACATCACTGTAATCAGGCTCTGTTCTCCAAGCCTGTTCTCTTCATCTGATATCATTTCCATCAACTGCAATTAATTGTGCTTAGTCACAAAAGTTTACACAATACTGTTAAACAACATAACAGCCCCATTTAATTTTTCTTTTAATCCATGTGTAGCTGTGTGTCATGTGCTGATCTAAGCAATGCCCAATTATTGTTGGACACTTTGAGTCAAGTGGAACAATATGTCATGGAGTTCCCCATAATTTTCTTTTATAACAAGGCCAGTTAATGTGTTTTCTTCCTGCCGCAAATCTGGTCCAAATATTAGGTGGAAAAATAGTTCCTCAAACTGAGGGCTTCTTATTTATGGAAAATTATGTCTCTTTTTTTTTTCTTTTCTCCCTCATGTCCAAGTTCCTTCCCTTCTACCCTTAACTCAAACCAAATCAACTGCCTTACCTTTCAGGCTGTATTTAACTCTCTGATTAACTCTTAACACAATGCTAGGTCTTCCAGGCAACTATTTTCCATGATATGCCTTCCATTAAGAGTTTTTCTGTCCAGTAGGATAGCCATGAGCCACCTATAGCTATTCACATTTAATCTTAATTAAATATTACAGATTTTCTTTCTCAGTAGCACTAGCTACATTTCAAGGGTTCATTAGCAGCATGTAGCTAGTAGTTACTCTATTGGGTAATGCAGATGATAGAACATTGCTCAAAGTTCTGAGAGTGCTGACGTAAAAATTCAAGTCTCAAGCTAGTTACTCCAGCTCACATGCTAGTTGACTAATGATGAATCAGAGGAAAGGTTAGGGCCAGACCCCAGTGGATAGATGTCATTTTTCCCTATCCAACACATATCCTTCATCTTCTGGTTTTCCTTCTCTACTACTTCCTCGTGCTTTATATGGTTTGGATTGGATTACCATCTCTCTGTCCCTTCAAGATCAAGACATGGGTCCATTTATCAGGCCTGCCTGATCTGTGAATTCTGTCTGTCTCCCTGGCTGCAATCATATAGGGCATTGGCCCAATCCCTCAACTTCTATGGGGACATGAGAGAGGACTCCCCTTCCAGGAGGACTGCTGATAGCTCAGGAGTTATCCTGGGTACCAGGTGACACTGGGCAGGAAGAGCTCACATAGCCAAGAAGAGCTGAGGGGCCATCATTAGGTTATGTTCTCTCTATCTACGCATGTCTACTCTTTTTAAGTAAGTGAATCAATATATTTGTTGTTTAACCAGTTTTAGTGATCTAGACCTCTAAACTGAAAGGACTGCTATGATTACTACCATCAGCACCCAAATCCTGACTGCTCAGGATGATGCTCCTAGAAAGACACCCTGTGTTTCCTCCTCAGCAGCTCTGTGTACCTACTTCTTTTTTTTTCCCATCACCACCATTGTACTGTACTGTTCCCCATGGCTTTAGTCACACAGTGTAAGATACTTCTTGCATTGCAGGCTCTTGGTGCTTATGGGCTTAGAATCCATTGTTTTGGTGCATGGAAACTAATGATTTGTGATTGTGCTGTTCAACCTGAAGGCTAGTGTCTGGAAGAAAAATGAAGGTGCCTGGCAGACTTCCATGTATCTCCCTCCTCACTTTAGATTTCTCTTTTTCTGCTCCCTACTATAACCACTTTAAAATTCAGAAATTTCTATATTTCATTTCACCCTATTATTCTTGTATATATAAACAACTGACATATAGAATCTATTGCTTCTGAAAGACAGAAAAAAATGAGCTAGGCCTCAAGAACCTGAGTTCTAATCATGGTCACACCATTAAGCAGGTGACTCCCTGAGGCAAATGGCTTGAGTTTCCTGGGTTCATATTTGCCCTGTGATGGGCACACAAACTGCCTGGGTGTTGGTGGAACAAGAGGCCTCAGAAGTGGGCAGGATTTGTTCTAATTCCAATTTTGCCTTTTCCTTAAACTTAGGTAAGACATTTTCATTCTTGGAGCTCTATTTCCCTCTGGGCAAGCAAAAGAAGATAGTTGAGAGTAAGGAAAATACGGGGGCATCTTCATTTCACAGTCACTGAAAGGAAAGACTGCCTTCTGTCACTCATAGAAGGAAAGGAAAGCCACATTAAAATGCACCAAGTTCTCATCACTGAGAAAGTGAGGTTATAAACCTGTGCACTCCTGCAGTACCAACTGAGAGCCCCACTGAATGCCTGCACTGAGGATGGACTGAGGCAAAGATGACTGCCAACATAAGATTACCAATTATACCTGTTAGAGTGCTACTAACACATTCCCATACTATTTAGCTCTCCTCTCAACCCATACCACTGAACACCTTATCTACCTACATTGCTGTATCAAGTCCATTAAAAGCAAATTCAAGGCTTCCACACAAAGAAAATGAAAAGAAAGGCAAATGGGAGGGAAGGAGAGATTATTGTCAGCATTTGAAATATGTAGAATAAACAAGTCAGGCATCAGTGGTTTGTAATCCTAACAATGTGGGAAGCTGAGAATTGGAGGACTGCAATTCAAGGCCAACTCAGGCAGGAAGGCTCATCAGACTCCTTCTCAGCCCATTTCAGGGCTCAGAGGCACACATGTAAGCCACATGGGAGGGTGAAATTGGGAGGCCAGCCCAGGCAGAAACGTGTGATTCTACTTCAGTGGAGAGAAGCTGGATGAGGTGGTATATGCCTGTCATTCTAGCAACTATAGGAACCCTGAAATAGGTGGATCAAGGTCTAGACATGCCTCTTGAATGGAAATGAGACCCTATCTTAAAATTCATCAGTGAAAAGGGGGCTAGAATTATGACTCAGGGGTAGAACATCTGCCTCAGAAGTTTAAAGCTCTGAGTTCAAACCTTGTATGGAAAAAAAAAATCTTCCCATAAAAACTTTGTAGTATATATAGAAAGTTTTATACTTCAAACATCTGTTCTAGATTCTTAGTTTTCAACCTTATCACCTAATATACTTTGGGAAATAACTAACTTTTCCCTTCAAGAACTAGATTGTCTTAAAAGGGATAGAAATGTGACTAATTCTACTAACCCCCAAACCCAATTGTCCTCAGGAGCTCAGGAGCTCAGCTACAGAAAAACAGAAGACTTAACATCACCAGATCACTGAGACACGAGCTGCTCAACAACTGTGAACCAGAAGATCCATAGTTTTCCTTCTTTTTCTAAGTTAAAATAAACAATTCATTAGGAACAGTGACTGTTCCATTTTATTATTAAACATCAATAAAAGAAAAGGGAAGGTTTTTTAAATCTGTGCTTCAGGCAACTCATTCAGCATATGCTACTGCCCAGGAAAAGGCCTTGCTTCCAAAGCAATTAGTGCAGCTTAACACCTGGGGAGATGGACCCGTCTGCACCACAGCTTCCTGTGCCCTGATGCCAGCAGATGCCTCCAAGCTCGCTTATCTCTGTCGAACAGTCACTGCATCCCAGCCAGTAGTGGATCCTTCTGCAGTGGCCTCTTTCTGCACCGGCATTTGATTTGGTTGGAACATACTGATAACTGTCTGTGACAATAGCTCTCCTGTGTCTCTCTGTCCATGTAATTATAATTCTTTACATCCTCCAAAGAATAATGGGGTGTTCAAATGATAAGTAGATAGCAGAAGACAAAACAATTTCTTATTCCCAGAGAACCCTGAGGGACCTGAGGTAGATAGTATTTTCACAGGTGGGTCAGGAGCTACCTAGTTATCTGTGACAGCCATCAGCTCACTTGAATTCTAGAAACCTGAACCTCATACACATTTTCTGTGGACAAAAGTTGTTACAAACATGCAGCCATGTGGCAACCTCAGTAACTGCCTCCCAAGGCATCTAATGATGGCAAACCCTGACAGACGTACAATGTCCTACCAGGCACTATATTCTTCCTATACATTACCTCACTTGATCCTCCTATCACCCTCACAAGAAAGGCCTGATTATCCTTCTACTTTACTTTAGGCAATAGAAGCACAATTTAATGAAATAATTTGCCCAAGATCATATAGTATAGCAAGTAGAAGGCAGACTGGGTTACAGTATATTGTGACCCACGTCTGGACCCCTGTG